TGTGTTTTTAAACTCCACACACAGTCACTAAAATCACTGGGATCATTTCACTGAACGAAAGATAAAAAAAACTAACTGTTAAACCTGTAAAACTACCACTTCATGACATCACAAAGGGGAACAGAGCATTTAGAGCTTTGCAGATGTGAACAGATTAATAATAAAGAGTGAGTCAAACATGTAAAGTCCAGCTCTGTTTGTTTGTTTGTTTGTTTGTTTTTTAAGAAGGAAACAAGATTATAACACGACTTAAACCTCACAAAAGTCAATTTTACATCATACAAAATCTGTAAATGTCAATAAAACGCGACTAATAAAATAATACACTGAAAAAAACTATATCTATCCAAGTTAAAATGATTTAAATTAAGAACATTTTACTTTATTTGAGTCAAAGTTTAGTTTTTTTGAATTCAAGCTAAATTAGGTTTAGTTTCTATAATTAAGTGCAAAAAGTTGTTTTTCTTATTTTAAGTGAAGCAAGATGTATTTTCATATTTTAAGTACAAAAAGTCTTAATAATTTTACTTCTCAAGTCAAATTTACTCAGATTATGATCAAACTTTCTTAATTCAAACCAATTTAACTTGACTAGATTTGTATTTTTTTTAGTGTATGTAAAGATATAAGATACAGATCCATAATGTGGTTAAATTTGGGACAAATTCAGAAAATAAAATGACCAAATGTTTGGAAAAGCTCCGTAACAACGACTAAACTCATTTGGGATCAAATTCAATGCAAAAAAATGTGAAAACTTTGTGCAAGCGTCAGGACAGCGGCACGTAAAACCTGACTCAAACCAAACACTTGTGTTTCCAGGGACTAAACCAGGACTGAACCAGGACTAAACCAGGACTGAACTAGGACTAAACCAGGACTGAACCAGGACTAAACCAAAACCAAACCAAGGACTAGACCAAGACTGAACTAGGACTAAACCAGCACTAAACTAGAACGACACTAGGACTAAACCAAGAATTAAACCAAGGACTAAACCAGATCTGAACTAGGACTAAACCAGGACTAAACCAAGGACTGGAACAGGACTAAACCAGATCTAAACCAGGACTAAACCAAATCTAAACTTGGACTAAACCAAAATTACACCAGATCTAAACCAGGATTAAACCAGGACTAAACCAGATCTAAACCAGGACTGAACCAGGTCTAAACCAGGACTAAACCAGGACTAAACCAGGACTAAACCAGGACTAAACCAGGACTAAAACCAGGTCTAAACCAGGACTAAACCGGGACTAAACCAGGACTAAACCAGCACTAAACTAGAACTACACTCAGACTAAACCAAGAATTAAACCAAGGACTAAACCAGATCTGAACTAGGACTAAACCAGGACTAAGTCTCGACTAAACCAGGACTAAACCAGGACTAAACCAGGACTAAACCAGGACTGAACCAGGACTGGACCAAGACTAAACCAGATCTAAACCAAGGACTAAACAAGGACTAAACCAGATCTAAACCAGGACTGAACCAGGTCTAAACCAGGACTAAAACCAGGTCTAAACCAGGACTAAACCGGGACTAAACCAGGACTAAACCAGCACTAAACTAGAACTACACTCAGACTAAACCAAGAATTAAACCAAGGACTAAACCAGATCTGAACCAGGACTGAACCAGGACTAAACCAGGACTAAACCAGGACTGAACCAGGACTGGAACCAAGACTAAACCCAGATTAAAAGAAGGACTAAATCAGATCTAAACCAAGGACTAAACCAAGAACTGAACCAGGACTAAACCAGAAATTCTGAAAACAAAATTAATCGCAAAAAAACGTGAAAACTTTACGCAAACGTCACGACAGCTGCGCGTAAAAACCAAACACATCCACCTTCCCTTTTTCCTTTTCTATTTTTTTTTTTTTTTTTTTTTTAATCTTCCCTCTCTCTTTCTTTCTCTTTTTTTCCTGCCTCGCCCGGGACCTCCCTCCGCGGCTCCCTCCTCCTCCTCCTCCCCCTTCACACTCGCTCAGACTCGGTCACCTTACTTCCGGCGGCCGCTCGCTCCGCTCCGCTCCAACATTTCCCCCCGGTCCTTCCGACACTTCCAGTCCGGCTTGTGCGCGCCTTCCCCCGGACACCTTCCCCCGTGGACTACCCCTGTTCTGGATCTTTGACTTGTGGAGTTTTTTTTTTTTTTTTTTTTTTTTTTGTGTGGATTTTTTCGTACCGCGGGAGACTCGGATCTTTTCCCGGAGAGGAGCGTGTCGGTGGCGGCTGGTGGGTTTGGAGCTCGGCCGGTTTTGGTTTGGCTGGTGCGCGGCGTGCGGTGCCGAACGCTGGTGCCCGGAGGAGGAGGCGCCTGTGCCGGGGGGGAGAAGGTGAAGCGCACGGGAGTCCGGACGCGGTTCGGTTCGAGTTAAAAAAAAAACAAACCTCCCTCCCCGCCGGACCGCGATGCCAAGGAACTGTCCAAAAATGAAGCTCCGGACCGTGTTTTTGACTCTGCTCCTCGGGATCTCATCGCTGGGTGAGTACGCCGTGTTAAAACTCCTCTGTCATCTCCTTGCGGACAGCGTTGGGGATTTGGCGACTTTACGTTTTCGCCTCTACCGAATGTATTTTAAAATGAATCAAACACTTATGTACATTTACGAATAGATTTTTTTGAGCTTCTAAATTCGGCGTGACTCGTTTTAATTTCAGTGCTTTAGTTTTAGTTAAATTTAAACTTTTCGAGTACAGCGTGTATTAAACTCTATGAACAACTTCGAACGAACACCGTGCGTGCAGATTTGTCAGGACTAAACCAGGACTAAACCAGGACTAAACCAGGACTAAACCAGGACTAAACCAGGACTAAACCAGGACTAAACCAGGACTAAACCAAAGACAAAACTAGAGCTAAACTAGGACTAAACCAAGGACTAAACTAGAACTAATCCAAGGACTAAACCAAGGAACTAAACTAGGACTAAACCCAAACTAAACCAGGGACTAAACTAGAACTACACTCGGACTAAACCTGGACTAAACCGAGGAATAAACAAGGTCTAAACTGAGGACTAAACGAAGACTAAACCAGGACTAAACAAAGACTAAACCAGTACTAAACGAAGACTAAACCAGGACTAAACTAGAACTAATCCAAGGACTAACCCAAGGAATAAACTAGGGACTAACCAGGACTAAACCAGAACTACACTAGGACTAAACAAGGACTAAACCGAGGACTAAACAAGGACTAAACCGAGGACTAAACAAGGACTAAACTGAGGACTAAACGAAGACTAAACCTGGACTAAACCAGCACTAAGCCAAGTACTAAACCAGGACTAAACCAGTTCTAAACCCAGGACTAAACCAAGGACTGAACTAGAACTAATCCAAGGACTAACCCAAGGACTAAACTCGGACTAAACCTAGACTAAATCAGAACTAAACCAGGACTAAATTAGAACTAAACCAAGGACTAACCCAAGGACTAAACCAGAACTAAACCAGAACTAAACCAAGAACTAAACCAAGGACTACTACACTTTCTATAAAATTCCATGCACTTAAAACTTAAAACAAAAACCTTGATTCAGTTTTGTGATGTCACAAAATCACCCGAATTATAAAATACTAAATTTCAAGTTAAAATATAATTATAATTAACGAAAAAATTTGATATTTCTGACGTTATTTAGTTTGAAATGTTAAAATTTGAGGTTTGCAGTGGGAGTTTTGTATGGTGGTTGGTGAATATTGAGACAGAGTTGGTCATTACGCCCTCGGATTATCTGGTTAATTAAAGTTAAACCCGAACGACAATAAATAAATAAAATAAATGAAATGTGAATATTGTGTTTGGTTTAATTTGTGTAAACGGGAGGGGACGTGGTAGGACTCTATTGTAAAAGGATTTAAGGTCGTTTAAATTAATTGGAATTTTATTAGTGTTTGATGTGAAACAAACCAAAGACTAAACCAGGACTAAACCAGGACTAAACCAAGGACTAAACCAAGGACTAAACCAAGGACTAAACCAGGACTAAACCAGGACTGACTAAACCAGGACTGACTAAACCAGGACTAAACCAAGGACTAAACCAAGGACTAAACCAGGACTAAACCCAGGACTAAATCCAGGACTAAATCCAGGACTAAACCAAGGACTAAACCAGGACTAAACCAGGACTAAACCAAGGACTAAACCAAGGACTAAACCAAGGACTAAACCAGGACTAAACCAGGACTAAACCAGGACTAAACCAGGACTAAACCAAGGACTAAACCAAGGACTAAACCAAGGACTAAACCAAGGACTACATCCAGGACTAAATCCAGGACTACACTAGGGCTAAATCCAGGACTAAATCAGGGCGGAACCAGGACTAAACCAGAAGACAACCAGGGCCAAACCGGTACCAAACTGGGACTAAACCAGGACTAAATCAGGAATAAACCAAAACTAAACCAGAATTAAACAAGGACTAAGCCAGGGCTAAACTAGAACTACACTAGGACTAAATCAAGACTGAACCAGGTCTAAACCCAGGTCTAAACCCAGGACTAAACCCAGGACTAAACCCAGGACTAAACCCAGGACTAAACCCAGGACTAAACCCAGGAATAGACTAGGGCTAAATCAGGACTAAATCAGGGCAGGAATCAGGGCGGAACCAGGACTAAGCCAGGGCTAAAGCAAGGACTGAACCAGGACTGAACCAAACCAGGACTAAACCCAGGACTAAACCCAGGACTAAACCCAGGACTAAACTAGGACTAAACCAAGGACTAAACCAAGGACTAAACCGGTACTGAACCGGGACTGAACCGGGACTAAATCAGTGCTGAACCAGAACAGAACGAGGGCCAAAACGGGCCAGAAAACCAGGACTAAACCAAGGACTAAACCAAGGACTAAACCAAGGACTAAACCAAGGACTAAACCAAGACTGAACCAAGGACTAAACCAAGGACTAAACCAAGGACTAAACCAAGACTGAACCAGGACTAAACCAAGGACTAAACCAAGGACTAAAACATATACATTAAATCCAATAAATCTGTGTATTTTATTGGTTGTATTTCTGTAAACGGGAGGGGACGTGGTAGGACTCTATTGTAACGGGGTTCGGGGTCGTTTAAGTTAATTGAAACCTCGTTAGTGTCTGAGACCTCGTTAGTGTCTGAGACCTCGTTAGTGTCTGAGACCTCGTTAGTGTCTGAGGTGACGCGGTGGACACTCGTGACGGTGATGACTGTGTTGAGATGAGCGTTTGTGACAGTCCTCGCGCTCGTCCCTCGTCCCTCGTCTCGTCCCTCGTCCTCCAGCGTCTCTCGGTCCATTTGTCCGGTCTTTTCTGAACGATCTGGGGCCAAACGAGTCCAAGTCCGAGCCCCGAGTGGCCCAGACCGGAGTCCGGACTCAGCCGACCTAAATGTGATCTGGAGCTCCCCCGTGGAGCTTAAATTAGTGCAGTGTAAGACTAAACCAGGACTGGACCAGGACTAAAGCAGGACTAAAGCAGGACTAAAGCAGGACTAAAGCAGGACTAAAGCAGGACTGAACCAGGACTAAAGCAGGACTGAACCAAGGACTGAACCAGGACTGAACCAGGACTGAACCAGGACTGAACCAGGACTGAACCAGGACTGAACCAGGACTGAACCAGGACTGAACCAGGACTGAACCAGAACTAAACTAAGACTAAACCAGGACTAAACCAGGACTAAACCGGGACTAAACCTGGACTGAACCAGGACTGAACCAGGACTGAACCAGGACTGAACCAGGACTGAACCAGGACTGAACCAGGACTAAAACTAGACTGAACTGGACTGAACCTGACTGAACCTGGACTAAAACTGGACTAAAACTGGACTGAACCTGGACTGAACCTGGACTAAAACTAGACTGAACCTGGACTAAAACTAGACTGAACCTGGACTAAAACTAGACTGAACCTGGACTAAAACTAGACTAAAACTAGCAGTAATCAGTAGGACTAAACCAGGGACTAAACCTGGACTTAAACCAGGACCAAACCAATATATTTAAACTGAAACGAGGATGATCCGGTCTGTAGTGGGTCCTTGGTCTTTGGGCGTCTGGGTGTTTCAGGGTGACTCTGAGCGGCTCCTTTGGGTGCTGCTGCTGCTGCTGCTGCTGCTGCTGCTGCTGCTGCTGCTGCTGCTGCTGCTGCTGCTGCTGCTGCTGCTGCTGCTGCTGCTCGTGTTTCTGCTGCTGCTCGTTTTCCTTGGGCTAAATTGTCAAAAAGATTAATTTAATTTGTTTAAAATAATCATCAGCCGGACGCATCAGGCATTTCCAACTAATCACACGGAGTCAGAGGATCAGCTCCGAATAAATTAAAACAAACGTGACTCGGTTTTTTAAAAAGCTCGAGTCATTCGCCCCGAGTCAAAACGTCAAAACATCAAAACGTCAAAATATGAAAACACCAAAACATGAACCATCTCTCTGCTCGTCTCATCGTCTCTGCGGCGTTTAAGAGTTTAAAGAGCAGATTTCATTCATAAACACGATTATTTTTACTGTTAAAAAAATCTGATAAATATTAAAGGTCCTAATGTGAGGTGGTTCAGTCCTGGTTCAGTCCTGGTTCAGTCCTGGTTTAGTCCTGGTTTAGTTCTGGTTTAGTCCTGGTTTCGTCCACGTTTTATCCCTATTTTGAGCCAATTATGTCGTGGTTACGACCTGTTTAGAGCTTTAGTGTAGTCCAGATTTAGTCTGGGTTTAGTCTAGGTTTAGTCCTAGTTTGGTCCTGGTTTAGATGTAGTTCAGGTCATATCAACAACTAGGCTGGGACTGAACCAGGACTAAACTAGGATTAAACTAGAACTAAACTAGGACTAAACTAGGACTCAGCTAGGAATAAACTGGGACTAAACCAAGAGTAAACCAGGACTAAACTAGGACTAAACTAGGACTAAACCAAGCCTGAGCCAGTACTTAACCAGGACTAACCCAGAGGGATGAAAGGAGGACAAAACAAGGACTGAACTGGAGCTAAACTGGAACTAAACTGGGACTAAATCAACACTAAACCAGGACTTAAAACCAAGACTAAACCAAGACTAAACCAAGAGTAAGCCTTTACCAAACCAGGACTAAACTAGGACAAAACTGGGACTATCCCAGAGGGACTGAACCAGGTCTGAACCAGGACTAGACCAGGACTGAACCAGGACTGAACCTAGACCAAACTAGGGACTAAACCGGGACTAAACCAGGACTAAACCAGGACTAAATCAGGATTAAACCAGGGCTTAAAACCAGGACGGAACCAGGAATGAACCAGGACTAAACTAGTACTTAAACCAAGACTAAACCAAGAGTAAAGCAGGACTAAACCCAGGCCAAACCAGGACTGAACCAGGAACTAAACCAAGATTAAACTGGGACTAAATCATGACTAAAACAGGATTTAAAACCAAGACTAAGCCTGGACCAAACCAGGACTTAACCAGGACTAAACCAGGAATGAACCAAGACTAAACTAGGACTTAAAACCAAGA